TAGCTGCCTGGCCGGGAAGCAGAGGAGGCTGTCGTTCCCAAAGACGGCCAAGTATCGCGCGGCGGACGCTCTCGAGCTTGTCCACGGCGATCTCTGTGGGCCAATCACGCCAGCCATCAGGCGTCTCTGGGATCGATGCTATAGAGGGATGGAGATATTGATGCGGACATTAGCCATAGAATCAAAGCAGGGTGGATCAAGTGGCGACAATCTTCTAGCATTCTCTGTGACAAGAGGGTACCACAAAAGCTAAAATGCAAGTTTTGTAGAACAACGATTAGACCGGTTATGTTGTATGGAGCAGAATGTTGGCCTACAAAGATTCGACATGTTCAACAACTGAGTGTTGCAGAAATGCGTATGTTGCGATGGATTTGTGGTCACACAAGAATAGACCGAGTTTGGAACGATGATATACGTGATCGCCTAGATGTAGCACCAATTGAAGGAAAGTTTGTCCAACATCGGTTGAGGTGGTTTGGCCATGTTCAAAGGAGACCTCCAGAGACACCAGTGCATTGTGTGGTTCTAAGCCAAGCTAATAATATGAGGAGAGGTAGAGGAAGACCGAAATTGACATGGGGAAGACAATAAAAACTTGGAATATACCTAAAGATCTATGTTTAAATAGGAGTGCTTGGAAAGCAGCTATTGAAGTGCCTGAACCGTGACTTGGGACTCTTGGTGGGTTTCAACTCTAGCCTACTCCAACTTGCTTGGGACTGAAAGGCTATGTTGTTGTATCGATGTTATGCTGCGCAAATAGGACTACTTTGTGCATAATATATTACACTATATTTCTCTAGTCATCCAGTCGCTTATATATATTACTATAAAAATTCTGGATGTTACTTCTAGTGCTGAAAATGAATCAAGATGCATGACCTTATGACAGTGTCAGACGCCTGATGGGGCGTGACTTCCCCTTATTAGAGGGAGTTGAGGGGGATTAGAGGAAGGGACGCAACCCTAGGGCTGGCTGTGCCTAGAGGGAGAGAGGGAATGGCGGCGGCAGCAAGCTGCAACCGGCCTGGCTGAAGGTGGCCGGCGCGGCCACGACGACGGGGACAGGCGGTGGAATGACAGGAGGCATGGGTGGCGGCGGCTGGAGGCAGCAGCGAGCAGCTGCCGCTGGTGGCGGCGCTAGGATACATCTTCCTTTGTATTTATAGGGAGGACTCGACTTGACTCGACCTGACCTACCAGCAAACCTAGCTCCTAGACTACTCCTAAACCTAATTGCTACAGTACCCGCGCCACAGTACTCGTGGTTACTGTTCCCACTAGGCCCTGTTGGCCCGACTTGGGCCCCATACTTCCGTAGCCCATCATGGCTATATCGGCCTGTGACAGACAGTATTGAGCTTCAAATTAATTTTACCAAGAAAACCAACTAGATGGTAGTTAGTAGATTAATCGTTCAGGACTCCACAAGGTTAAAACAGGACAACCAAGTAAGCTGATTCTGATACAAAAGAATGTTATATTTTCAAATTCCTCTTTTCCCTGTTTGTCAGTGGAAATGGATTAATAGAAGGTTTGTAGGAGAAGACAGATGAAGTGGTGGACCAAAGAGGAACAGGATCAAACCTTTCCCCCCTTAAGAACTAGTCCCACCAATAGGGGTAGCTTTAAGACTTTGACCCCTTTGAGGTTAGAAAGAAAGAAAAAAAGATAAAATAAACCACCTGAGTTTGCTTTCACCCAAAGAAAGAAAGAAAGAAAGAATTTCAATTTGCATTGATCTGGCCCACTTTAGTCCCTTAAAATTTGTGGGAACAGCTGCTTTAAATTATGTGGAGTTAAATATGCTCCTCTTTTGTCACTTTGCTTCCCCTTGAACAGACATACAGGAAAAGGTAGTGTGTGCAAATCATAGTTGTACCCTTCATCATCACTATCTTACAACTTATCAAGAGGGGCACACTGAACTCAATTCTAGCTTTTTAACTACTGTTCTAAACAGTCTCACAGCAACAGTTTACACTTATTGTCTGTTTTAATGAGGTATTGAAACAATTTTTAACATGCATCTCTCAGAAAAATTTTGAGTTCAAAAGTTATCAATCTTTTTTAAAAGACTCAGACAGATTTAGTGTAGTGGTTTTCAACAGGCGTCTCTCTCTAGTTCCTTGTTTTGGTTGTGTTTAAGCCTATGGTGTGTCTGGGCCTTACATGTTCTTCGCCCGGTCTACTGTGCTGCTGCGGCCAGGGCTGTTACTTGTGTTCTCTCTTAAAACTCTCTTTCCTGTCTTAATTGAAAGGAAGAACTCCTACCGTTTTACTTCAAAAGGTGCCCATGGAAATGGGGTACTTGAATGCTACACTCCAACATATCTGTGAACATTCTATCCAGCGAGGATTTGTTGAGGTGATTTTCAAGGTGCCTGTGGAAATGGGGTGCTTAAATAATACATTACAACCTAGATATGTGCATTCTGTCCAGTAATTATACCTTAGTACAATAGCCCTCAACATATCAAGAGCAGATGCATGCAACCAGTGACTACATGCTTATTTAGTACATGAAAGCTGCTGGTGTGCCTGGAGAGAAATCAATTCCTCAAAAAACTGCAGTTTAAATTTAAATAGGAAGAAAAAAGTGCATTAAACAACTATATAGTTCTTATTAGGAAAGACACTTTTTTCAACAGACAAGCATTTGGGCATAATGTCACTACACAAGTGATCATTAAACAAACAGTGTTGCACTACCAAGAGAATGGATGGCATATAATACTCGCTGTAATATGCAATGGTAAATCACTGCGTTGTTTGGAACACCAAATTCAAGCTTTCCTAGGCTTTGGTGAAGTGGGAAATCTTGCGTTTAAGTAAACTTAAAAATAACTAGGAGAAACCAAAACCTTTATCCGAATAAATCAATTCAGAATTGCCCAGTTCTAGCCATCTTCTTTATCAATATAATCGGCAGCTCACCTGCTTAGTTCTTTTAAAAAACAATTTAGAAATGATTAAGACCCAACCAGTTGTAAACTGTAATAGCACACCAGGATGCATGGTGGTGTACAGCTACCAATGATGAGTTTATCTTTTGGAGAGAGAGCATTGCTGGGGAAAAAAGGAAGTCTGAAAGTTTATATGAAGTGATTACAGTGAGATGGAAGTACTGAAATATCCAAAACAGATTAACAATCCATAGGGCTGGATAGAGGAACTCAGGAAGGTAGAAGGCCCCCAAAACCAATTCTGCTGGGTTTTTTCTTAGTTTTAGCTTGCAACTGCCAACCTTTGTTGTACCAATGATTCCATGGAGAATAGAACTTCAGAGCCAGCAGCATCATTAGGAAATGGAAAATATGAGCATTAAGCATGCACTAGGTGCAAAGGACGCACCCCAATTCTCTTAAGTAGTTGACATAACTGACTTATGGCTGAGTATAATAACATAAACATGAATACAATGGGGAGAAAAGAGAGAGAGAAGGCAACCCTTCAGCTACTGAGACAAGCCGAACACTGGTGAAGCTGAGGATATTCTGTTTTAAGTGTCTTTAGCATTTATCTAGGTCACTGATTAGTGCTTGTTGAATGATCACTTTGACTGCACTAGTAAGAGTTGAAGATTATTACTATTGTTCTCCAAGGCGACAGAGAAACCTATGCTTCAGTAACCTTAAAATCGATACTACATCGACCTCGAAGAGCGTATAATGAGTTAGGTTTATAAAAAGAAAAAAGATAATACACATTTCAATCTAACTACATAACCTGAGAGAGAAGAGTGTAAGAACTTCAACATTTTGGCAAACGAATAAGGAGATACAACTTTCATCACTAAAGCATGGAGTTGCAATTAGATAAGATATGGCCATCTACAGTAAAGACTGAACAAAATAAGTACTCCCTCTGTCCCAAAAAGAGTGTCATTTTTGCTATGAATCTGGACAAACATTTGTCCATATTCATAGCCAAACGGCACTCTTTTTGGGACAGATGGAGTATATATTTGGGTGCAAAGCCACCTGTTTTTGGATTCGAGGGTTTAAAGAAACTGAAGCTTTTCAAGGTTGAAATAAAAATCAGATATGTCAAGAAACAACCGTAGTTACATACTTAAGTAAGGACACATGCCAGCCAAGGTTCCCTGAGAGAAAGAGTTGTACATAAAGAAATCTGACTGGGAAACTAAACTAATGAGAATTCATCCAAAATTAGGAGATCGCAAGTGTGTCAGCAGGAGAAACTTGATCCATTATGTAATATTAATAAGTACAATATTGTCACAATAACATAACTGAAATCGAATACAATTGCAAGCTACAAGGACATTACTTCACCTGAAGTTAGAGCTAATGCCTTTTGTTGGCCTTTACCTTAGCAGGACCAAGGCAGACAATGATAATTGAGTGTTGATTATGATTGCCAGCTCTTATTCTGCATCCATATATAAAAAAGGCAGGCACTAGATCTGAGTTCCCAAGAAATAACATATTAATAACTTGCCAATTAAAATATACTGCAGGAACAGAAGTTTTTTTTTTCTGGATGCTCCTGGTATGATAGTGTATGACCCATGGTAAATTTCTCTCAAGCTTCAAATTTTAATACAAAGTGAACTGAGCATTATGGTTTTGCTTCCCTCATCATTATGAAAGGAAATTGAGACTCAAGCTGATTACTAACTGTTCATGCTGCATGAACCTACTCATGATTGCAAGGTAAATGATAAAATACATAAAATTTCAGAAAGCAGTATTCAAGTAGTGAAGCAAACTACAGCACATCAAAGATTCCTCAAATGTGTACGATCAATCAGAAGTATTCCGATGATGACATGGAATTAAATTTTCATAGAAACAAATTAATTCAAGTACCAACCATGAGTAGTAAGTGCAATTATAGGCACAATGATCACGCACTCACGCACCAGGTAGTGTAGGAAAGAACTTGTAACTGTACAACAAGGTTCCACATCTGTGTTTATATCAATAAGGCGGATGGAACTTTCTTCCCGTAGGCCAGTATAGTATGTTTGACTATTCCTGTTTATCTTCACCTCCATCCGTGCTGGCATTATCAACGCTTGCTCCTTCAATATTTACAACTTCAACTTCACTGTCGGCCTTTGCAACTTCAACCTTATCATCACCACTTTCCCACCAATTCAAGCGTGCAGGTCTTCCCATAAGTTCCTAAATAAAGGACAAAATATAAATCTGATACCTTAGTGCCTTAATGTGCTTGTAGTTTAATACATCTTACATTCGATTTTATAAAAAGATGGAATGGACAAATGGGACAGAGACAGACAATTCATCTAACTGTACGATAACACTATAGCAGGTCTGTTGTTGTAAGTCAATGGCAAGGGTCTTCAAAATTATTATCAAAAACAGAGAAGACAAGGCATGGAGAGAGAATACATTTGATAATTGAAGACATTTTTATTTTTATCTAGTGGAGGCATGTGTCAAAGGAGGTATGCTATCTTCACAAAAAAAAAAAAAAAAAAAAAAAAGGTAGAAGTTTGTATGCGTTCCATCAAGCTCAGTGAGAGCAGCCTCTGCTTCTTCTTTAGTCCCAAAGGAAACAAAACCATACCCGGCTGCTTTTCCATTATCGAATATAACATTAGCAGAAAGCGGGTTAAAGTTTGCAAAGAATTCTTTAACATTGGGAGCCCTTGCTTTCCATGGAAGATTGGACACGTAAAGCTTGTGCCTCTCTATAATGGTGCCAGGAGGAGGAAGCGGAGCTGGTTTTCTGAAGCTCTTTGAAAACTCCACCTTGATTGCCCGCCCCATTACATCCTAAAAAATATTATTCTCAATGTTAGTACCTTATTTTGGAGAAATCTTTAGGTGTCAACATTTTAATGGCTAGCTCAATGATAATGATACAAGACTGATAAACTCGGCCCATGTTATAGAAACCTCAATCATGAAGTGACATTATTCGACAAGTAAATCCATGTCCACATAAAGTGCGAGCCGTTAATATCCACTAAGTTGCTGAAAGCCTCAGTGGAGGAGAATGCAAGTGAGGTCAATGGATGGATGCCCTAAGACGTAATTTAGATATCATCTTCTACTTCACATCTACTCTGTCTATCTGATGCTGAATCGTGAAACTAAAGAATGGTGCAAACCGAACGCATCAAGGCAACCGTTGACGCACTCACACGGGAGTTAAGCTTCTCAGCAGCGGCGGCCGCCTCCTCCGCAGTCGACATCGTCACGAACGCGAACCCCCTGTTTCTGCCATCCTTCCCCTTGATGACCTTCTCACCAAACAAACACAACACAAGCACTATTTTCAAAAGCTGAATATCGCAACTGGAAATTCAAACTCCGACACCCTAAACGCACGCGGGCCTCAACGGCTCGCCAGGGCACGCGGCATTGCGTTAACGGAAATCGAGCACGCCTCCCACCTCGATGTCCTAGACGGTGCCGTGCTGCGCGAAGAGCTTCTCGATCTCCGGCGCCGGGAAGGACCAGGGCAGGTTGGGCACGTACAGCTTCCGCCGCTTCTCCCCCTGCTCCTCCCCCTCCTCGGCCACGGGGGCGGCGGCCTGCGCCTCTTCTGGGGGCAAGGACGCCGCGACGCGGAGGCGGAGGCTGAGGTGCGCCTGGTACTGGCGGCGAGGGGAGCGGAGCGGGAGGAGAGGAAGGGCAGAAAGGGGAGCGCCGCGCCGGGGTTGGGGCTGCGCGCGAGCGAGAGCGCCATAGCGAAGCGGAGCGTGCGGTGATAGCGAAGCGGAGCGTGCGGTGCGGCGCGGGTGGTTCGGGTGTGTGTGAGATTTTTGGGCCGGCTTGGTTTTCGTTTCGGATAACGTGTGGGTGCCGCTCGCTGGAAGGGCAACTCCAGCCAACATCCTATCCCATCCCTCATCTCGTTTTGAGGTGTAAAACATAAAAAAACTTCTTCAACCGGTCTCCTATCTAAACCCCGGTGGATGAGGATTCCTCGTTCCTCTCTCCTCATCCCCACATCTTAGGGACTCTCATCCCGAGCCTCATCCACCGAGCGGGCCAACGGCCGTCTTACCGCGCCGCCACGGAGATCTCCGAGCTGAGCTGGTACGTCCCTATTCCCCTCTTCTCGTTACTGTGGCATCCATGGCTGCTTTTTCGGCTTCTAGATGGATGGAAGACGGGGATACGAAATATACATCGTAGATCTGGGCGGTGTGGCCGCCGCCGCTTGCCGGCCGCCCGTGCTAGGCCGCCTTGGGTTGCTGTTGCGCCCCTGATTCGCGTCGCCCTCCGCTAGCCCACAAGGTCGTGCCCCTTCTTTGTTGTCTTGCTGCTCACCGCCACTTGCAGGCTGCTTGGCGCGGCTTGGGCATTGTCGGCTGCCGGGCTATGCGGATGTCTTGCCGCCATCTGTTGTCTTGCCGCCATTGCGGCGTCTTGTTGTTGTGAGCCTCACTGTGTTTGCCCCGTGGCGTGTGGGTGCCGTGGGTTGCAGAGTGAAGACAGAGAGAGAGGAAGCGTTGCAAAGTGAAGACAGAGAGAGCACAACCAAAAATGTTCCGAAAGAGATAATCCGTCACTCGCTCGCTCCAGAGATCTCAGTACCGTGCTAACTCCAATAATTTCCTTCTTTACTACATAAAAAGCATGAGCCGCTGGATAGAAAGCATAGCTTTCGCTAGATTTCTTTCTTATCACATTTGAGTGCTGTGAGCGAAAGATTTAGAGTGTAGTGAGAAGTAAAGACTGGTATTATTTAATCAATTTTGGCTTGTGCTTGATTCTTTTATTTTAATGAAAAGGTTGTGGTTAATTTGTTAATATAGTCAATTCCTATATCCAGGAAGAACAAATGAAGAGTTGGGTTAATTTACTCTCAGGCAATGGGGACAACAATGATATGTGTTTTGATGACTTTCAAGTTGAAACACATGTTGAACAAGTTGCTGAACATTGTACTCTCCCCCTGAAACCAAGTAAGAAGAGGACTAGAAATTTCATTCCCCAGAAAGACACTATGTTGGTGAAAGCATGGCTAGAAATTAGCTTGGATCCAGTTCTAGGCACTGATCAAACTCGTAGTACCTATTAGAAGCGAATTCATGATTATTATCATGAGCACAAGACTTTTGAGTCCGAGCGTAATATCAGTTCTCTCTCTCACCGTTGGGGTATCATCCATAAAGGTGCTAATAGATTTTGTGGATGGTATACTCAAGTTCAAAACAGAAGAGAAAGCGGGCTGACAAAGCAAGATAAGGTAAGTTATTTAATTCTGTTAATTGATTGGAAATGTATATCTTTTGTGCATGGTAGCCAACACATGTTTTTTGTACGGATAAAACGGGCAAAGGAATTGTACCTGGAAAAAGATCCATGGATGTAATTATCATGTTGCTCTATCTCTATATGTTTCACCAATACGAATGTATTGATCCATGAAAATCGGTACTCCATAACTAAGCATTAAAAAAAAAGCTACAGTAATCTTTTGCAAAGATGATAACCCGAGACGTCCAACTCTATCTCTTTTCTGCTCAAAGTAATTATCATGTTGCTCTACAGCTTGCACTATGCGAAGGTATAGCGTCATCACCATCATCGGATGAAGAAGATGAATCTAGTCAGGAGAGACGACTCATTTTCAGTGGACAAGAAGCAGCGCAATGTTGGAATTGGTTCAGGAAAGGGAATGGCCATACATATATATAGACGGAAAAATATAACCGTTGCAGATAAAGCGACCGTTTGATTTATAAGCCGTTGGAAAAGCGACCGTTTGATTTATAGCCATCGAAAGAGCGACCATTTGATTTATAGCCGTTGGAAGAGTGTCCGTTCAAATATATAGCCGTTCTAAGACTGACAAAAAAAATATAGTTCTAAATTATTTAAAAAATAATTCCTTCAATATTTAGCCATACAAAACTGTCATTAAGAAATATCCATTCCAATAATACTAACGCAGTTTAGATATAAAATGCTGGACTTGGTAGTTACAAGTTATGTATAAAATATATGTGAGAAAATAGAGAGTCTGAAATAAGAGTTCGGTTGGAGAGCAGGGAGAAATGAGGGTTGGAATCTGGACGAGGGATCCTTATTTTTGAAAGTAGAGGGCTAAATTTTGAGACTTTTCCCTACAAGCCATTATAAAGGTTTCTAATTCCTTCTCTACCACAAAAATTTTGGCTGCCCCTCCTTAGTCCCTCATGCAAAGTTTTCTGGACCTGTATGCCACTTCCGTCCGTCTAGAGCATGACAATCGGTAACGGAAGGATACAATGACCCTTTTGTCCCTGTGTCCACTTAAGTCCCACGAAAGACACCACAGTCTCCAATTCCTCTTTTCCGTCTGTTTGGTTGGATTGTTGGAGCCAACCCGAATGGGTTCGACCCATTTTCTGGTTGTTTGGATGGAGGTTTGGGATGGGTTGGATTCGACCCCAGGAGAATATTCCTCCAATATGCGGGTTCGGTTGCTCCGTCGAAATCTGGCAGACGGAGCCGCTCCGCTCGGGTTTAGAAATTCACGTGCGCTGCAGTAACCCCAAACCTTATCCCTTCACCTCCCCCAAACCTTATCCCTTCACCTCCCCTCCATTCGACCGCTCCCTCAGATCATTGCCGCCAGCATGAGAGCCCCAGATCTCCGCTTGAGGTCGCACGGCAGGCTCACTGGCTCTAGCCATCAGCATCTGACTGCCCAGTCCCTTGTCCGTCCGCTACTGCCCCGCACTGGTCCTGCTACCGAGGAGCCACCCCGCCCACCTCCAGGTCCGCCCGAGGAGCCGCCCGCCCGACGGCCTCTGCCGGACCGGCTCAGATCTCCGCCTGTGGTCGCACCGCCCTCTGCGTCGCCCGCCATCCGCCCGGACCGGCGCCAGTCGGCCCTCCGCCCGGATCCCCGCGGTGAGTCTTGGTTTAGTCTTGTTCTCATTATTATTTTTCATAGCGATTTCATAGCGACTTCATTGATGCGATTGATGAAATGCCGAGAGGTTTTGGGCGCGCCTGAAACCCCATGACGGGCCCCCTCGACCCCACCCCACGATCGGCGGTGGGGCATTGCTTATGCATAACGCGTACAACGCCTAGATGGTTAGGAGCACCCTTTTTCTATGAATAGAAACAAACTACGGATGGTCTTTCAGTAGTATATTGTGCTCAGACTTAAATTGTAAGTAACTTTGAACCAAACTACATGAATTTTAAGACCATATTACCTCTTATATGGAATTGGATGGGGTCTGCTTCTGAATATTTGCTTTTTACCTACCTGATCTATATTGATTGTGCTGCTGTGCTTGATTGTGCTGCTGTATGTAGATGAATAATGTGCTCAAGGCATTTGTTTTTTTTTCTTTCTTTGCACATTGGTTGTTGTGTGTCATGGCAATTGTTGTTCGGTCTAGGAAAAGAAAACGAGTTGCAAGAAGTGAAGGGATTACTTATGCACCAATATATGAAAGGGATAGGAAGAGAATGGAATACCTCAATGACAAAATCTGGAAGGATGACACAACTCGTGTAAACATGCTGAGAATGAACAAAGCACGTTTCTTTAGGTTTTGTAAGTTGTTTAGAGATCGTGGTTTACTTGAAGATACCGTTCATATGTGTGTTGAGGAGCAAGTGGCAATGTTTTTGCATACTGTGGGGCACAATGTTAGGAATAGAGTAATTGCAACCAATTTTGGTAGATCCGGAGAAACGGTCAGTCGTTATTTTAACAAAGTACTTCATGCTATTGGTGAGCTACGAGATGATTATATTAGGCCCCCTTCATTGGACACTCCAGCTAAAATTGAAGGAAACCCAAGGTGGTATCCATACTTTAAGGTGTGAAGCTCAACCTTATGTCATATTCTAAGTTTATTTTTTACCAAACCTAATTGACCTAATCTTGACTTCTTTGAACATCATGTAGGATTGTATAGGAGCACTTGATGGTACACATATAAGAGCCACTATTCCAAAGGAAATGCAGCATGCTTTTCGTGGTAGATACAAGCATTGTACTCAAAATGTACTGGCAGCCGTAGATTTTAACCAAAAGTTCACCTATGTGTTGGCCGGATGGGAGGGGACAACACATGATGCACTAGTTTTACGTGATGCTTTAACATGTGAGGGTGGCCTTCGTGTGCCACAAGGTAATACAAGAACCTATGTCTTGTCCATAAATTTGTTCATCAAAATTAATGGATCATTGAGATGTAACCTAACTATGCATCATATGTTAGGTAAATATTACCTAGTTGATGCTGGATATGGAGCCAAACCAGGATTCTTACCCCCTTTTCGGGGTGTACGATACCACTTGAATGAATGGGGGAGGAATCCGGTGCAAAATGAGAAGGAATTGTTCAACCATAGGCACTGCTCATTGAGAATCATAGTAGAGCAAGCATTTGGAGCACTAAAAAGGAGATTCAAAGTACTTGATGATGCCTCTCCTTTTTTTCCTTATGAAACTCAAGTTGATATTGTTGTTGCTTGCTGCATCATTCATAATTGGGTGATTGAAGATGGGAGTGATGAATTCAATATACCAAGTGACAACGATGAGGACACCCAGCACACCACATATGCTGGGACAGCAAGTGAGAATGCCATTATGCTAGCTTTTAGGGAAGGCATGGCTGCCCAAATGTGGGCAGATCGTCAAAGCCATGGAAACTAGTATCGGTCAATGTAATATGTGTTGTATTTTTTTCTTGGACAATGTAATAATTGTATTTGAGGGCTGAAATTATATTTGAGGACATATTTCTACAGATATTTGATTGTCACGTTGTTTGCTACTTTGTTTGCTACTTTGTTGGCATTATTATTTGAGGACATATATTGCATTGTTTATTTTGTAGGGGAATGGAAGCAGAGGGTAGTGCAGGGACTGGTGGACATGCTACTTGGACTTCAACTTGGTCAGCCTACATGCTCGAATACCTTGCCAATTTAGTGGTTAATGGCACCAAGACTTCATCCACCTTCAAGATGGTTCACTACAATGGGTGTGCAAAGGCTCTTCAAGAGAAATTTGGCATTGTGCGCAGTGATGAGCAGGTTAAGAATCACCTTATGACATGGCAAAAGAAGTTTCATAAAATATGTGACCTTCGTGGTTTGAGTGCTGCTGGTTGGGATGAAGATACCTTCACTATAACTCTTGATGATGAGCACTACAACAATCATATTAAGGTATTTGCTGAATTATTAGTTCTCACATATAATAATCTAATAATAGTTGCTGAATTATTAGTTGTCACATAATAGTAGTTGCTAAAATTGTACATATATTGCAGGATCACAAGTCTAATGCTGATTTTCTAAACAAGCCTATTTAACACTTTGAGGAGATGCACACAATATTTGGAAGTACCATGGCTATAGGCAAGTTTGCAAAGGACTCGGGTGTGCCTCTA